CTGCACTCACCTTCTCCACCATTGTGGTGTTTGGACTACAGAACACAGAAAACCGTACTGGGTGGACAGACACAGCAGTCAGCTTCTGCCTTCTCTTCTCGAGGCGGGGCTGGGGAGGGCAGGGCTTACCCGGCCGCCCTTTGAATCCAGGTGCCCTTTTCATCTTTGGCCACGGACAGCCTCCTTGATCTCAGATCAGCCTTTCACACTTGTGCTTACACTTTTGCATTAATCTGATCTCTTCAAACGCAGCTGCAATCCATTTTCTTTGAATTTTCCTGCCTTTGCTGAATTCCTTAGAGTCCAGACCCAAAGTCCCTTGAGGCAGGAATCTTTTTATTCCCTATATAATTCGTTTGAGCGGTCATGTGTTGGCATCGGAATCTAAACTAACTTTTATTTAAGTTGGGTTTTGCCCCTAACTGGTGTGAAGCTCCCTGGAAAGCCATTACCCATGCTGGAGAGATGGACTGATTGGACTCTCTTTGTCTCCTTATTACCCTCTTTATATGAGTATCAGTAAAAACTTGGGAATCAGCCCCCATTAATTACCAAATCAAGAATATCATCGGATTGCATCCGAAACAGATACAACAGATATTTTCCGTGCTTTTCTAAACCTATCTGCTATCCCCAACAATTTGCTGAAAAGCAATTTGCTGAAAGTGATGATTTAGTGCTAATTTTTAGTCTGTGACTATAAAAGTTCATAGAACCCATCTCCACAATGGCACATGTCGTTTGGGACCAGCTGAATCTATGCTCCCATTCCAAAGCCACTTCAGTTTGACTCAGAATAAACTAGCTCACATCTCTTTGGAAGTGCTAGCATCTTTTGCCGCTATAGTGGCTAAATGTTCTTCAAGGAGAGGAAGTGACACATGTCAGGGACATCGTGTATTTTTGTTTTAGAGAAGGTCTCACTGCTGGCCTAGAACTCACTATGTAGACCAGGCTGGCTTCAAACTCAGTAGGCTGCTTCTGCCTCCAGTATTCCTGGACTAAATGCATATACCAACCCAAGCACTTAAGGACATAGTATTTTATATGCACAATATCCTTCAATATATGTCTCAACACCATTTTCTAGAAGAGACTCTAAGAGAGAAAGTCGCCTGGTTAAACCCCAGGTTTGCTGATGATAAACTCTTATGCCTTTTCTTTATTTGCCTAATATGTGTACTGGAGACCACTGGGACCTATGTTCTATTGACTCAGCTCCTTAACTCCTTTACAGTTTCGACACCATTTAGACCAAACTCTATGGTGGGCTAAGGACAAATTATTCCCAACTGGGCATAGTGTCACAAGTCTTTAATCCCAGCACCTGGGAGGCAGAGGCAGGTGGATCTATGTGAGTTCATGGCCAGTCTGCTTTACAAAGTAAGTTCCAGGATAGCCAGGGCTATGTGGAGAGACCCTGTTTTGTTTTGTTTTGAAGTGAAATTCTATCTCAAAAATAAAAAGAGATTTCTCTGTGGCTTTGGAGCCTGTCCTGGAACTAGCTCTGTAGACCAGGCTGGTCTTGAACTCACAGAGATCCACCTGCCTCTGCCTCCCAAGTACTGGGATTGAAGGCGTGCGCCACCATTGCCCGGCCACAGAGAAACCCTGTCTCGAAAAACCAAAATAAATAAATAAATAAATAAATAAATAAATAAATAAATAAATAGCTAGAGAAAGAAAGGAAAGAGAGAAAAAGAAAGAGAAAGAAGGGCAAAAAGAGCAAGGGTTTTAAAGATTTACGGCCCAAGCAGCTAACTTGAATTAATAGGTACAGTCGGTTCAGTGGCTCTGATCGCTGACCTCAGGCAAACGCTGCGAAGCAGCAATTCCACTCCTCACTATACATTCAGCACACACTTATCCGTGTGTGTCAGAGCATCTTCACAGTAGGATGGCTCAAGATGAAGAGGTCAGAAGCAAATATAGAATGGGTAAACACTGGGTATTTGGGACAGTAGAATACTATTCAGCAATAAATGCCAATGACTCGTTGCTACATGTGACCATCAGAGTGAGTTTCACAATGCTGAGCAAAAGGCAGGCATGAAACAGTTTGGCTGTATTTATGTTAATGCCATAAACAGGAGAGTTAGAGATAACGGCAGTGGTTGTGATTTCTGCGGTGGGGTTAATGGGTGGGAAGTTGTCTGAGTGGCCTCCCAGTGCTGCCTTAAAATGTAACTCACTTTATAGAAATTCTTCCAAGTTAAATTTTCTTGCATGAATTTTTACTTCAGTTCTCTCTCTCTCTCTCTCTCTCTCTCTCTCTCTCTCTCTCTCTCGGTTTCTCTGTGTAGCTCTGACTGTCCCGGAGCTGTTTCCTAGACCAAACTGGCCTTGAACTCATAGAGAAAGAACTGCCTCTGCCTCCTGAGTGCTGGGATTAAAGGTGTGCACCACTATTTCATGGTTTATGTTTCCTTCTTAAAAGAGAAAAGACACAGCCTATATAGGTCGTGTCCTACCTTGGCAGACTATTGGTATGAGTTGGATCATGGTATGAACACAGCCCTTAATGCCATCAGCTGATATAGCAGCGCACTTCTTGCTTGTTGATGCACATGCAACTGGACCTGGCATGGACCAAGGCTGAGGAAAATTTCATTCCTCCACAAAAGTCCGCCATCACCACAGTGGTAGGTAGAGCACGTGGCCAACTGTATACTGGTTACTTTTAACCCGGCTGCCCAAAGACATCCCTTTTGCACCATATGCACTGTTTTAAAAGGGCATGCAGGTATGCTTAGCTTCAAAGAAAAGCCATGTAGCTGAAGTGGACAGGAAGGGGGCAAGATGGAAAGGCAACAGTGTCACTGATGGCCACACCTGCTTCGGCATCAGCCATACTCAGACCTGTCCCTGGAGAACCATGTTTACACGCCCAGCAATGACTCACATGTAGAATGGTCTTCTCTTTCCCCCTCAAGCAGTAGGTCCCAGGAAAGAGCAAACCAGATTTCCAGGCCACTGCTGTGCCCTGTGCAAACTGGTCACCACCAGGGCAATGCACATGGTGTGTGAGTGCTGACAGTCAAGGCATGACTGGTCCTTCTGTGGACCCAAGAGCACAGTGGGCTCATAGTCGTGGAGAGTCCTGAGCACAGGAACCAGCCTTGGGGGCTCTTAGGGCGTCAGTGGGGCTACTGAGTATCTGAGAATGTCATTCTCTCACAGAAAAATGGAGGAGGTCTAGGAGAGAAGAAAGCAGAGGATTAGAGGGGAGGGACGGGTGGGAACGAGGGAGGAAGAGAGGCAGAGGTAGGAAAGCAGAAATAAAGAGAAAAACTGCCTCTAACAAGCTACAGGTGGAAAGCTCTCCTGCCTTATGGCTCCTGCTTGGGAAAGCATTCTAAGGTTTGCTAGGTTTATATTAAATAAGCACCACACCATAGCTCACTGCTTACCAACAAAGCAATGACGACACCTCTAAAACAAGGCGGTCAGTGGTAGCTGCTGCTACATCTCCCAGTTTCTGCTACCACGGAGGTGTGCTCCAAGGCCTGCCGCAGCACTCAGAGGGCACAGGTAGTTCTTTGCTCTTCTGAATCTTAGTGTACATGATGAATAAGTATGCACGCATTTCAAACGTGTATGATGGTCAGACAACTCAAGTGTCAGTCCTTGCCTTCTGCTTTGCTTGGAGCGGGGTCCCTTCTTTCTAACACATACAGCAGGTTGTCTGGCTTGGAAGGTTCTGGGAATTCTCCTGTTTCTGACCTCTGCAATCAATGCCATAGGAGATAGACCTATAGATGCACGCTATATGACTTCTGATCTCTGTGGGCTCTGAGAATCGAGACTCAGGTTCCTAGACTTGCATAACAAGTACTTTATCCACTGGTCTTCTTCCTGAGCCCCAATCTTTGACTGCCCTTTAAGAACTGGCTGGTGGCTTCCCTTTCACTGAAGGCTTTAATTAGAAACGTATTCCTTACAGATGCTTCATGTAGTTACATTGCAAGTACAGGTTTTGACCAAAAAAGCAAAAAGGAGGGACCAGAGCCAGGCCTGCAGCTACCCTCAACACAATGCACTGCTTTCCTCATAGAAATATGCACATGGTAGATTAAGGAGAACTGTGCTAGAAATGAGTGCTTGTGTGCGTAGCTGTGCGTGCTAGAAACGAGTGCTTGTGGGTGTAGCTGCTCATGTGCTCTTATTTATTTATTTATTTTTAGCCAAGTGATGACATTAAACCTGGGGATGGGCTCTTTAGGGGACACATGTACGGAAGAGCTAACGGGATCTAGAGATGAGGGTGATCCTATGGCATCTAAGGGCACTTACTTTGTTTCCCTCAGCCTACCCGATCCAAGTAACTCATTTAAACGCCAATAAACACGGGGTTTGCTTATCGCACCAACTCCTTTTATTGTGAAAGAAGTCATTTCAGTAGGAAAGACTGATGATGTCCGGTCAGACGTGCAGGAAAGAAGCGTGGTCTGTTGGAGAGTTTGTGGGTACGGCAGGCATGTCTTCCTCACATTTTCTAAAATGCCAGGAAGAGTCCTTTAAGTAGCAGACTTGGGTCCAAGTTCCCAAAAAAGGTTCCTATATAAACTTTTCAGGAACACATGTGTTGTGGAAAAGATGTTTGTAGCACAGGGACTCCAAACACAGCCTGAAGAGTGTTTATTAAGGGCTGGATGTTCTTCCACACAAGGAAAGGGTGGTCAGAGTCACTGATGGCCAGAGCCACTGCGCACTTAGGGTGGGACTTAACAACTGGAGAGTAAAAGAAAAAAAATGCAACCACTTGCATTTGTTGCTAAAGAGTCAAAAGGAGTTTGATGAGAAAGACATGTTCCAGACGCTGTGATTTGAGGTCAAATGGCTCAGCTCAATGTGAGACAGGGTGAGCCTCATTAAGAAGGGATCCAGGCCCGGCAGCACGACCAGTTCAGACGACTGCCTGCCTCTTGAGAACTGGGGTGGTTGCTTTCCCCAAGATTTTAATTAGAAACTTACTCCTCGTGAACGCTTCACTTACTTACGTTGTAAGCATAGACTCTGGCCAGAAATGCAAAAAGAAGAGCAATGAGAGCCAGGCCTGCAGCTACTCTCACTGCGGAGTCATGCTGGGACATCCACAGCCCAATTCTGGAATATGCCGAGTCACGCCGAGTTGGAGCACAGCTGTCTGAAGTTGGCTTCGGATGATTCCCAAACCGATTTCTGAATTCCTATAAAGAGAGAAATCGGTAAGAAAAATACATTTCAGAAAACATTCCTCCAGTTATATCAGCTATGGTTCCTTATTCTTTCAATACATTTAGATGCCCTGCAGGTCAGGTAGCCCCACACATGTATGGAAAAGTAAGCTTTCTCTGAAGATTAGAACACAGTCTTGATATTTTAGACTACATGGAAGACATTTTGTTCATCAAACACACCCTTGAGGACAGACATTCTAAGGTGGCCACCACTGCTACTGGGGAAAGGCTGAGTCCATCTCCAGGTAGGCCCATAAAGGTCTACGTGACCAGAGGGGCCCAATCCATAGAGTTCCCTCCATTTACCCTGGTGGGCCAGACACAGAAAAGCCGGGAAAACCCAGCTCAAGGAGAGTGCAAAGGGTGAGTCAACATGACTGCTCTGCTTCTTTTTTTGGGGGTGGGGGGAGGGGAGCTCCATTCAGCAAGGCTTCTACTCTAACAAGGGAAAAGTAGGGGGAGAAACTGCTACTCTCATGGCAGTTTTAACATTTCACAGCACACATTGTCTCTATTGTATGAGATTTTTCCAAACAATGCCTCTACACAGCATGGACATAGCATGGGACGGTGGGATGTGCAGACAGGAGGATCACAGAGGATGAAGAAAAGGCAGAGGCAGCGCAGCATGCATCCGTGTAAGCACAGCTGTCCTCCAGCAACCACTGGATTCTCTTGTGCCTCCATTCTGAGCGCTGCGAGTCCTGAGCAACTTGTAAAAGTCTTCCTCCCCGCTGCACACACTGGCTGTGGCCCGAGAGCGAAGAGTAGGAAAGGCTCATCTTGGTAATAGATGAAGAGGGAGATATTAAAGACCGGAAGACATCTGATTAGGACAAGGGCAGAAGCAAGAAAGGAATCTGGAGTCTGAAGAGATGACTCAGTGGTTAAGAGCTTGCTGCTCCTGCAGGGAACCCTAGTGTTCCGGTCTCAGCACTCACGTCGGGCAGCTCACGACCCCCGATAACTCCGGCACCAGGGGATTTGACGCTCCCTTCTGGACTCAGAGATTACCACACTCACGTGCACAAACTCCACATAAACACACACACACACACACAAAATTTAAAACAGAACAGAAATGTAGAAATGAAGGCAATGTTTATGACCCAGTTTCTAAGCTTTTATTTATACCTCATTCATGTAGAAAAACTTGCTTTGACTGTAGGAGACTCACCGGAACTTAAAGTTGTTGGCTACCAGGGTGACTTTCTCAACTCCAACTACAATCTTTGTTTCTGCACTTCTCAGGCATTTGGGCCCATGCTGCCCTGCTGATCTCTATGCACTGGGAGTCTTTATCAGGGAGCCACTCCTTTATCAGGGAGATAGCTCTTCTGTGAAGCTGACTTTTGTGGTGTTTGGTACAAGCATCCACTTCTGTTGACTGAAGGAGCTCTCAAGAATGGTACTTATGGGACTGGAAAGATGGCTCAGCGGTTAAGAGCATTGCCTGCTCTTCCAAAGGTCTTAAGTTCAATTCCCAGCAACCACATGGTGGCTCACAGCCATCTGTAATGAGGTCTCGTGCCTTCTTCTGGCCTGTAGGCATACACGTAGACAGAATATTGTATACAGAATAAATAAAAAAATTAAAAAGAATGGTACTTATAATGGGTTTGTAGATTTTAATAATAACTAGGAGTTATTTGTATGAACCTGCCATCAAGAAACTCTTAAAACTGATACATTCAGTAAAGTAACAGCAGTAGCCGTTTTGGAAACTTGCCACGTGCATAGGAGGCCTCTCACACTTTACACATTTTTGATCCTAGGACTAGGTGGAATGTAACTGTCAGTCACCTAGCTCGGTATGATGACTAGGGAGGAGGCTAAGCTTTAGCCTTCTTATCACAGCACACATCAGGGATGTTTCCAGTCACCTGTAAATAAGAGTGATGTCCGGTACCTCCTGACCATCAAACTGACTGTTATGAACCCAGGTTTCTAGCAAATAGGCTTTCGGCACCCTCCCTGATGCTGTACCCTGTGAGACAAGAGTGGCATCTCCTGTTTCTCTACAGAAGGCCATTCCAGGAAAGCCAGCCTCGATCAGGCACAGCCATTTCCTGCTGCACATCTTAAAGTTTTGAGCCACATTGAGATTGTATCTGTACAAGAAGCACAGCTGGATTGTCTCAGAGCACATACACATACACATGTGCACGCATACATATACAATCAACATGCTCATATTAGAACACGCTGCAAAATGCATTTTAATGAGGAACAGTTGGTCTGGTTCTGCTCAAATGAAAGACAGCCCTGTAAGAGAGTCACCACCTGCCTTCCCAGCTTGTACAGCAGCTTCTAAATGAGTTCTTCTGTCCCCAACACTGGCAGGTGTTGCCAAGGCCCCGCAATGACATCCCAGTGCCAGCTCCTTCCCTTGAACTGACAGACAATGTCATTCCCTGTGATTCAAACTATTAGGAGATAATAGCACACACAGTGACCAAGGGCACCAAACTATCTCAATTATTCTTCTAGACTTCCCCTAAATTGGGAACATGCTACTATCATAAGAGTCTTTGATTTTCATAACATGGGAACATGCTACTATCATAAGAGTCTTTGATTTTCATAACATGGGAACATGCTACTGTCAGAGGAGTCCTTGATTATCACCAAGCCAAGGATGTTTCTAGTTCTTGAAGTCTATGTTTAAGATGTTACATGCAGAGTCTGCCAGCTTAACAGGCACAGTGGAATATACAGGACCAACAGATTGAAATTAGGAATTAATTGGGCCTTTTCACTTGAAAACCTGTCACAGAGTCACACGTTGAAAATACACCATCAACTTCCCAGTATCACTTTTAGGCATGAGTGATTCAAGATCAGATATTATTGAGATGAAGTCCCTCCACCAATGTTTAATTGCTATCAAATCATTAAAATTGCAGAGGAAAAATTTTAAACATGAACATAACACAAACTCTCCCTCTCATCTTAGTATCCTAGATTTTTTTAATCTTATTTTGGTGATAGCAAAGGCTTGTGTTTACTTTACTAATAAGATTGAACATAAATTATTAAGCTATTGACTGCATGATCAAAGAAATTTCAGATTATATTCTGAATAATTTTGCTTTGACATCCACCAAAGGAATAGATCTAATGTGTCCCCGCATGGCCTCAGTGGCCCCTCTCTTTCAGGATGCCCACCCCTCGGACGCAAACTGTGCCTAGTGAGACAAACCCAAGCCCAGCATTTGCCTGTCACCTCATTATGACTTCTGGGGAGTCCGCATTTCGTCTCACTCAAGGGACATGAAAAGAAACGTTCCAAGCTCTGAACTTCTTTTAAAGGATTGAAGACATTTCTTATGTGTAAATTTTTCTCATGCCTCATTCAGAAGCACAGTTAACAGCTTGAAGTGCAAACTAAGAAGGATGGACGATATGCTTGATAGCCCCTGTCTCAAGATAAGTAAGACTTTCTATCAGCCCTATCTCCTAAGAGCCTACTGAGCCCATGCACATGCCCAATGCAAGGCAGCATCCAGGAAAGAATCTCAAGAGCTGAGTTTTTGCTTTGAATATAAAATTATTTTCATGTCAGAAAGTGATCTCTACCATAACTGCATTTTAATTCTTCAAATATAAACTTCAAGACCTACCTCTTGCTCTAAGCATTGCTCGTTCATCCTCGACACACAGGCAGGCCTTTGTATAAAGGAATAAAGGGCCACACTTTGATCTAAAGTCTATAATCAGTGCCTAGGATAGTAGCAGAAATCTGAGGACGTTTAGTCTAAATCGGAATAGCATTAATAAAAGCTGAAGTTCCACAGGCAGGGCAAGAGATAGGATATTTGAATCTGATCATCTAGTAAGAAATACAATAGGTAAATTGCATTTCTCAGGGAAAGAATATTTGTATCTATATAAAATGTGAACATATACTACTAAGGAACAGGTAGAAATCTCAGTATTCATCAGTTAGTTCTGCCCTCTCCTTTGGACCAGGTGCTGGGTGTCTACTGGAGAATAAGATCTTGGTCAGCAGGGCCAGGATGAATCAATGAAGTCCTTTTGGTATTCTCTCCAACTGGTGTAGGAGGTCCTTCTGTCTATGTGTTGCCTTCATTGGTTAATAAAGGAACTGCTTTGGGCCTATAGCAGAGCCATATATGGAAAACTAAACAGAATGCTGGGAGGAAGAAGGCAGAGGGAGAGACACCATGGAGCCACCAGAGACAGACATGCCAAATCTTTGCCAGTAAGCCACTGCCAGGTGGTGATATACAGATTAATAGACATAGGTTAAATTAATGTAAGAGTTAGCCAATAAGAAGCTAGAGCTAATGGGCCAAGTAGTATTTTAATTAATATAGTTTCTGTGTGATTATTTCAGGTGTAAGCTAGCAGGGAAGAATAAGCAGCCCCCTCTCTCCAACATCTAACCATAGCTAGAGCCATCTTTACTCCAAAGGCATGTACACAGGAGTGGTGAGGATGCTGGGAAATACACACTTGCAATCATCCAATGAATCTTCAGGTAATCAATCAAACTAAAATAATTACTACAGAGAGCTTCTTTTCAACTAGGTAACCATGTACCATTTATATTTTAAATGAAAAAGAAGTCATGTGTGATGTTAGTGTCATTGTCATTTGACCTTCTCATGGATTGCAGGCATCATTTCCAATGATGCTAGAATTATGGTTTAACATCACTTGGCTCTATGAGCTGTCTAAGGTGAATAAAGGAGGTAGCTGTCTCTAAGAGCTTCAGAAAAGATGAACTAATATATATAGAAGTACCCCTGATGGCTCATGATGATGATAGCTATTCATCTTCGAAAGTCCTAGAAAACTGGTTAAGATCATTTCTATGGTATAAACTTACTGTAATTAAAGAATGATTAACTAGGAATTCACACCTCTAGTTCCAAAGTTGCATTATACATTTCCCCAAAATCCTTTCCTAGACAGCCCTCTTTCTACTTGGAACAAAATTTTTA